TCTCTTTGTTGAACATTTGTTCCATTTCCTGGAGGCTTTTTGTGGTTTCTTGGTGTTGGATATTGAGTTGTTGTTGCAGGTCTGTGAGTGTTCTTATGATTCACATTCGAAATTCCTCTTCTGTCATTTTAGTTGCCAGGTTTTGGTTGTTGTCTGTTTCTAAGGGGCTGGTGCTCCTCTTTGGGGGTTTGTTTTCCGTTTGTTTCTTCATATTTCCAGAGTTCCTTCGCTGATTTCTTCCCATTTTGCTCGGTTTTTGTTTCTTTCCTTTAGGTTTTCGTTTGGGTATTCACACGTCTTGTTTACTTTCTGAGCCAGTAGATGGAGTTGCTCTCTGTCAGCAGCCTTCGCTGGGGTTGTGTCTGCAGGTCTCTCAACCCGCTGGGGAGCCAGCAGTCCGAGATATAGTGGAGGGGAAACAGTTAATTACCCTACCCTTCCTGCTGGTCTCCTTAATTACACAGGTGGAAATAGATGGCAGGAACCGGAGCAGTTCCTCTCTCAGCTCCACCCCCAAGGCGGGGCTAGAGACTTTGGAGTCACCAGAGTGTGTGGGTTGTAATGTCTCTCTGTCTAGTATTCACCAAAGGCTGCTTCCTACAAGGCTCAGCTGTGCCCAGGCAAACTCCAGGGCCTGGACACCGAGCGCAGAATACCTGTGCAGACAGAGATTGGCCTGAAGCCGGCAGGCCCTTAGCCAAACCCAGGGAACCCCGTCTTCTGTCTCTTTAATTGCACAGGTGGAGATGAGCGGTAGAAATGGGAACAGTTCCTATCTCAGCTTTGCCCCCAAGGCGCAGACAGAAACTTTGGAGCCAAGGCTCAGCCACAAGAAACAGGACGGTGGTAGACGTAAAGACTCTCTGCCTTATAGCAGCTAAGGGCAGCTTCTTTCGTGGGTATCTTCTGCCAGATGGGCTCTGCACTCTGGACACAGAGCGCGAGAGACCTGTGCAGTGAGAGATTGTCCTGAAGCCAGACCCACTAGGTCCCTTGTTCTGTCTCTTTAATTCCACAGGTGGAGATAAGCGACAGGAACGGGAGCAGTTTCTATCTCGGCTCCACCCCCAAGGCGGGGATACAAACTTTGGAGCCAATGGCCTAGCCCCAAATCCCTGGATATGGGGGTTGTAAAATATCTCTGCCTTATAACCACTGACGGCTGCCTCCTGCAAGGCCCAGTGCTCCACACTCTGGGCACAGCGCGCATGCGGGAGACCTGTGCAGGGTGAGACTGACCTTAAGCTGGCAGGCAGTCAATGGGACCCACCTGTCCCTGCCTTTTGTCTCTTGAATTACCCAGGTGGAGATAAGCGGCAGGAATGAGAACAGTTTCTATCTCAGCTCCGCCCCCAAGGCTGGGACAGAGTCTTTGGAGCCCAGGGCGGGGCTCCGGGTCGCAGGAGAGTGTGGAAGGTACCCTTTCTCTGCCTTAAATTCGCCAAGGGCAATCAATCTCCCCTGTAGCTCTGCCCCGTCCAGGCAGGGTCCACTCTCTGAGCACAGAGTCAGTGCCGCTTGTGCAGCAAGTGACGGTCCAATATCAAATTGGTGGAGCAGCGGCGCATACCAGCGGTTTCTCTGCGCCTCCTCTCCAAACCCCAAGGGCAAGTCAGCGCTGGAATGCCGAGTCAGCGCCAGAAACAGGGGCGGAGAGGTGCCGGAGGGCAGAGGGAGGGGGGTCCTAATGGATCAAGGAGTCTAACTTTGCGCACTCTGACCTCTCAGTGCTATCCCAAACCTCCTCCAAATCCAAAGTCAAAGCCTCCTGCTGTGTAAACTCCCCTTACCCTTGACCTGGGAGTGTTCTGCAGGGAAATGCCCGAGCGGGCTCTGGTTCCTGATGTGCGGAGAGCGGTTGCTGCGCGCGCGTGGACCCTCCCCCGCCTTAAACCGGGGCCGCTGTGTCCTCTGGCGAACTCAGCGCGTTCCCTACTCTAGTCTCTTCTCCACACTGCTTAATCCCTCGCTGCCACTTCTCACCAACTTCAGGCACCTCCTGGCCTACGTGGGAGTGGAGCTCGGTGTAGGAAGGGGTGTTTCTCAGCGCCGGTTAGGGCTGGTGCCACTGCCCGCCGGCAGCGGCTTAATCCGCGCCTTGCTCCCTCCCTGATGTGTGCCTCCGAATCCCCGAGTTTTGCAGAAGAATGATCGGTTCACCTTTGCTTTAGGCTGTAAATGGTCTTATCCCTCCATTTCCTGTTGGATATTCTGCAGGCCTGCAAAGCTGGTCTCGTGGAAGTGTAGATCGCTAGAGTGTGGCTATCCGCTTTCTTCACTATTTGCTCTGGGAGCAGAGAGCCAGGAGGGCACCCCTACTCCGCCATTTTCTCCTCTCTCTCTTGCATAACTTTGAGCTTTCTTACAATCCAATTTTGGAATTCTTCTTCTGTGATTCTAGTGTTTTAGGTTTCTTCAGTCTTCATTTCTTGAGAGCTGGTGTATCTCTTAGGAGGAGTGTGTTTTTATTTTGATATTTCAAAGTTCCAGAATTCTTTCCCTGTGCTCTCCCCATCTGGATCAGCTGATGCTGCCCAGGGGTCCTCTCTTCTGTAGTTTCTTGATCAGCCACTGGGGGAGGAGCTCTTCCACCACACTTGGATGTTACCCCTGATGGCAGGGGTTACTTGTGGAGCCTATTGTGGCCACTTGGGGGAGATTTGTTCCTTGACCTGGGCCCTGATTGTTGGCCACTTACAGGAGGAGGAGATCCAGCCCCAGCGTTTTGATCAACTGGGTGACCTAAACTGTTCTGGGAAGCAAAGTCTTTTATAGGGCCTCCTTATGAACTGCACACAGGCCCAGATGATTCTCCCTAGATCAGGGGGAGAGTGGCTTTTCTTGTATCACCCTGCCTCCAGGGGTGGAGCCTACCAGTTTTGGCAGGAGAGATGCGGGCTAGTGAGAGGAAGTAGCTCCCCAGTCTGCCCTGCAACCCGGCACCCCGGTGGTTGTAACTCCCCTTTGGCATTAGTCTTCTCAGTAGTTCTTTGATTGAGTGAGGCCTAGCAAGCCGATTGTATATTATGTAGGGGCAGAATTTGTCAGAAGAGTCTCTAGGCTGGGGAGGAAATCTGCCTGCCACACCATATTGCACCAGGGAGGCTGGGCTGTGGACCCACTCAATGGCGACCGCTTGCCCACTCGCAGGGCACCAGCACTGGGAGTGATTGTTTAGGAGATGGTAGGTGCCGTGTTTGGGGTCTGAGTCATTGGGACACCCCGTTGCCTCCTTTATGCTGCCTTTCCGGCCACCAGTTCAGCCATAGCCCTCGTTCTTACTGACCCACCCTGTGCAGTCTTATTTTCCTCAGGCAGTTCCACTTATAGTCCCTGACTTAGTGAACAGCCCTGTAGGGCTGGCCCCACTCATTACCAGAGGCAAGACATCTAACTGCCTCGCCTTTCAGTTCAGTTCTGTTTCCTCCCATCTTGGAGCCATCCTAGCAAGGGGAGTTTTGATTAATGGTTGCACTCTCCAGCACCCTCTTCTCCTCCCATGATTTCGCACCAATTTCAGACAGGTCCCTGGCTGGGTGGGTGTGGAGGTCAAATGGGGAAGCAAGGAGTTCTCCTGTGGGTCTGATCCCACTTCACCCCCTGGCCTGGCAGGCTAGGGCCCTACCAGCCACTCTCTATTGTTTGTTTTACACTCTCCAGAGAACGCGATCTTATCTTCCGATCACCTTATTTTTTCCTTTTTTGAGAGTCACACGCTGAACCTCTTTGAAATCTCAATGCTGTCCTTGTACGGGAGAGATCAAGTCATGTCTAAGAGACCAAGATCTATGCCTCCTTTTCTGGGAGCAGGAATCCGTAGGGTTACCTTTAGTCCGCCATTTTTTTCTCCGTAACCTTTAAAATGAACACTTCCACAGGTAAATGTATCTGATATCTCAAACGATTAACTGATTTATTGGCTACCTTTTGAAGTGAAACCAGGTTAAAAGTGAGGGAACTACCTGTAATTGGCTTGAAGACACTTAGTGTAATCTGAAATCTGACCAGTCAAGTCATAAACTGTGAATTCAGCTTCCTTAACCCTATGTTTTCCTTTCTAGTGAGATTGGACAACAGGTAAATCAAAGAAAATCTGGTTGAAGAGGTGCTTCTGGCAAGTGTGACTGTGTTGTTTTAAAGCAGCTGCATGAGGCCACCAATTCCCTCCTTTCAGGGGAGGAAAAGCTATCTAAAGGGGAAAGAGGAAATGTTTTATTAACCCTGTCTGCCTTGTAGGTTTAAGAGAGTAGATAAATAAATTGCTTCTATAGAGAGATTTGCCCCTGTTCACTGGGGATAAGTATGCACACATGAGCTTGGAACTCCTTAGACCAGAACTAGACCAGGGATGGAAGATTCTGAAAATTGCATAGTTGTGTTTATATTCTTATGAAGGAAGAGAAGGTTGGAAAGATTGGAAGAAACAGATTCACCTCCATGCAGAGTTTGGGGGAAGGGGTCAGCTAATATTGTTGAGGACAATACAGGCCCATTTTGATGACTAGAATAGATCAGAATGTTTCAATGATTTCTCATTATCTAGTAAGTCCAGAAAGACAGCACCTCTTGTATTATCCTGGATAGAGCTGAAGCCCATTCTACTAAGTGAAGTATCACAAGAATGGAAAAACAAGCACTACATGTACTCACCATCAAGTGGATACTAATTGATCAACATTTATGTGCACTTATAGTAGTAACATTCATCAGGTGTTGGGCAGGTGAAAAGGGGAGGAGGAGATGGGTATATTTACACCTAATGAGTGCAGTGCACACTGTCTGGGGGATGGACACACATGTAACTCTGACTTGGGTGGGGCAAAGGCAATATATGTAATCTAAACATTTATACCCCTGCAATATTCTCAAATTTAAAAAAATAAAAATAAAAGTTCAAAAAAAATACAATGTTCATATAATACATACAAGGATAAATGACATATTTATGCATATACTTGGTTAGATTTTATTCTAAAAGTTGTCTGTCTCTTTTTTTCCAGCTATGGATCAACTCATAAACAACTTGAAGGTCCAATTTAATTCTGAAAGTGACTTAACGCAGGTGCTCAAACAGGTAAGTTATTAGGAAAATGAAGTACTAATATTGGGCCATAATAGTGTTGAATACCTGGTAATCATTACAGAGTTGAAGCTCATTTTTCTTTCTATCAACACCTTTTGAGACTGAGAAGAAGTGAAGGAAGGTAGATTTCCAGAAAGTACCTTAATGCCAAGGTTTCATATTTAACTAAGGAGTAAACCTGGCCAAAAAGAAATATAGTCTCTAGGAACAAGTCTATGGAGACAACAGTAGACTTTCAGTACACAACAGCAACCATTTATCTAGCACTATTCCATATTTCAGGCACTATGAAGATTAAATACATTGTCTTATTTAATCTTCACAGTAACCCTATTGAACAGTGTATTAGTATTCTTCAGGGAAACAGAACCAATAGGATGTATATATACATCTCTTTCTCTCTCTCTATTTTGGATAGGGTGATCAGGTACATATTTATTTAAAATATATCATGAGTACCTGCTATGAACCAAGACCCATGTAATATGCTGGGGAAAATGTTTATTATGTGTCATCTTTTCTGAAGGACCATACAGCCCATTTTCACTTATATCTGTCATGTAGTTTCCTTTTTTTTTTTTCTTTTTGAGACTTGTTGCCCAGGTTAGAGTGAGTGCTATGGCGTCAGCCTAGCTCACAGCAACCTCAAACTCCTGGGCTCAAGCGATCCTCCTGCCTCAGCCTCCCAAGTAGCTGGGACTACAGGCATGCGCCACCATACCCGGACAATTTTTTCTATATATATATATTAGTTGGCCAATAAATTTCTTTCTATTTTTAGTAGAGACACGGTCATGCTCTTGCTCAGGCTGGTTTTGAACTCCTGACCTTGAACAATCTGCCTGCCTCGGCCTCCCAGAGAGCTAGGATTACAGGTGTGAGCCACTGCGCCCGGCCATGTAGTTTTCTTAAAAACACCCCATCTAAGCCAGGCCACACCCAGTATAAACTACCCCCCAGTCACTTTTATATTTGTAAGAACATTCACCATTATCTCAAATTCTCATGTGTTTTTTGTTTGTTGTCTGCCCCTCCTCTAAGTCCATGAGATAGAGACTTTGTCCAATATAGTCACGGCTGTATCCCAAATCCCAGATGCAGCCTGCTTACTAATATCCACTGAAATAAATATTTTGAATGAGTTAATGACTTTTAAAATGAGCAACATTGTGAGCAATACATTATAATCCCCATGACAGGTAAAGAAACTGATGCTCCGATAATATAAGTAATATGCACAAATGATGTAGAGCCTAGAATTCAAGCTCAATTCTTTCTGATTCTAAAACTTACATTCCTTTCTTTTTTAAATGTTTTAAAAATATTCTTTAATTTTGAGAAGTATCCTTCTGCTGATCCAACTCTTACTTAGAGCTGTTAAGAGTATTTTATAGGCTACAACAACATTGGGATAAATGTCTGATAAATCATATTGTTTTTAAAAATTTATATATATATATATATATATATATATATATATATATATATATATTTGACTCAAATAGTACAAAAGCAATTTAGGTAACCAAAACGTTTGTACTCCTGTGATATTCTGAAATTACCTAAATTGCTTTTGTATAATTTGAGTCAAAGTTATGAGTGTGTCCATGACCCAGATAACGAACATTGTACACATTAGCGGTGAGTTTACCCATCTCCTCCGCACACTACCTGCTGGATTTCCAATGAATGTTATTTCCATTTGTGCACATAAGTCTTGATCGATTAGTTCCAATTTAATGGTGATTACATGTGGTGTTTGTTTTCATTCTTGTGATACTTCACTTAGAAGAATGGTCTCCAGTTCCATCCAAGTTAATACAAGAGGTATTAGTTCACCATTTTTATGGCTAAGTAGTACTCCATAGTATACATATACCACATTTTATTTATCCACTCATGTATTGATGGGCACTTAAGTTGCTTCCACATCTTTGTGATTGTGAATTGTGCTGCTATAAACATTAGAGTGCAGGTGTCTTTTTAATGGAATTCATTTTATTTCATTTGGTTAAATACTCAATAGTGGGATGGCTGGATCAAATGGTAGTTCTACTTTTAGTTTCTTGAGGTATCTCTAAACTACTTTCCATAGAGGTTGTACCTGATTAGATGAAAAAGCTTCTGCACAACCGAGGAAACAATCAATAGAGCAAATAGACAACCTATAGAATGAGAGAAAGTATGTGCATGCTGTACGTTCAATACAGGGCTGATAACCAGAATCTATGAAGAACTCAAGCAAATCAACAAGAAAAAATCAAACAAACCCATTAAAAAGTGAACAAAAGCCATGAACAGAAACTTTTCAAAAGAAGATAGACTAATGGCTAACAAACATATAAAAATTGCTCAACATCTCTAATCATCAAAGAAATGCCAATCAAAACCACATAATAGTAACAAAGAAAATAAAGTACCTTGGAATATATTTAACTAAGGAGGTAAAAAGACCTCTAGAAGGAGAACTATGAAACACTAAAGAAGGAAATAGCAGAGGACATAAACAGATGGAAGAATATATCACGCTCATGGGTCAGCAGAATCAACATTGTTAAAATGTCTATACTACCCAAAGTGACCTACAGAGTCAATGCAATCCCTATCAAAATACCATCATCGTGTTTCACAGATATAGAAAAAACAATTTTATGTTTCGTATGGAACCAGAGAAGACCCGTATAGCAAAATCAATAAAAACAAAATAGGAGGTATCAATTTACCAGACTTCAAACTATACTACAAGGCTATAGTCATTAAAACAGCTTTTTATTGACACAAGAACAGGGATATTGACCAGTGGAACAGAACAGAGAACCCAGATATAAAACCATCCTCATATAGCCAACTAATCTTCAACAAAGCAGACAAAAACATACACTGGGGAAAAGAATCCTTATTCAATAAAGGTACTGGGAAAACTGCATAGCCACATGTAGAACACTGAAACAAGACCCACACCTTTCACCTCTCACAAAAATCAACTCACACTGGGTAACAGACTTGAACCTTAGGTGTGAAACTATTAGAATTCTAGAGGGAAATGTTGGAAATACCCTTCTAGTCATTGGCCTAGGCAAATAATTTATGAAGAAGGCCCCAAAGGCAATCACAGCAGCAACAAAAATAAACAAATGGGACATGATCAAATTACAAAGCTTCTGCACAGCCAAAAAAACTGTCAAGAGAGCAAACATACAACCCACAGAATGGGAGCAAATTTTGGCAAGCTACACATGTGATAAAGGGCCGATAACTAGAATCTATTTAGAACTCAGGAAAATCAGCAAGAAAATATCAAACAACCCTATCAAAAAATGGGCAAAGGACATGAACAGAAACTTCTCAAAAGAAGACAGAATAATGGCCAACAAACATATGAAAAAATGTTCAACATCTCTAATCATCAGGGAAATGCAAATCAAAACCACAATGACATATCACTTAACTCCAGTGAGAACGGCCTTTATCAAAAAGTCCCCAAACAACAAATGCTGGTGTGGATGTGGAGAGAGAGGAACACTCCTACACTGCTGGTGGGACTGCAAACTAGTTCAACCTCTGTGGAAAGCAATATGGAGATACCTCAAAGCGATACAAGTAGATCTACCATTTCATCCAGCAATTCCACTACTGGACATCTGCCCAAAAGATCAAAAGTCACTTTATGAAAAAGACACATGCATTCGAATGTTTATAGCAGCACAATTCACAATTGCAAAGCTGTGGAAACAACCCAAGTGCCCATCAATCCTAGAGTGGATTAACAAAATGTGGTATATATATACCATGGAATACTAAGCAGCTTTAAGAAACAATGGTGATATAGCACCTCTTGTATATTCCTTGATACAACAGGAACCCATTCTACTAAGTGAAGTATCTCAAGAATGGAAAAACAAGCACCACATGTACTCACCAGCAAATTGGTATTAACAATCAACACCTAAGTGGACATACAGGAGTAACATTTATCGGATGTCGGGAGGGTGGAAGGGGGGAGGAGGTGATGGGTATATACAACCACAATGAGTAAGATGTGCAATGTTTGGGGGATGGACATGCTTGAAGCTCTTGCTGGAGGGGGGAGGGGGGATGGGTAATATAAGTAACCTTAATACTTGTACCCCCATAATACGCTAAAATGAAAACAAAAATAAATAATAATAATAAAAACCACAATGAGATATCACCTAACTCCAGTGAGAATGGCCTTTATTAATAAGTCCCCAAACAATAAATATTATTGTGGATGTGTAGAGATAGGAATAGTCATACATTGTTGGTTTGGAATGCAAGCTAGTACAATTTCTGTCTTTTATGTGTAAGTGATTTTATATATACAGAGATTTATATATATGTAGATGCAAATTATTTTACACATGAGTGATGCATTGCATTATGCACTGTTATATGTAAAATTATCTTATCCATAGATGATTTTATATGGATCGATGAGAGAGATTTAAATATATGTATGTGTATGTGTGTGTACATATATGTATATATATATATATATATATATATATAGAGAGAGAGAGAGAGAGAGAGAGAGATTTGCTCATGTTATTGTGGAGGCATGGTCAGTTCAAAACCAGATAGTCTATGCAGGCAGGATGGAGCTTCAGGGGGAGTTGCAGTTCAAATCCAAAGAAGAATTCAGGCAGAATTCTGTCTGCTCTGAGTAGGTCAGTCTGTGTTTTCATAAGGCCTTCAAGTGATTAGATGAAGCCCACCCACATTATAGAGGGTAATGTACTATATGCAATGTCCAGTGTTTTAAAAGTTAGCCTCATCCAGAAATATACCTTTACAGAAACATCCAGAATAATGTTTGATCAAATATCTGGGCACTGTAGCCCAGCCAAGTTGTCACATAAAATTAACCATCACTATTCTCAGTGTTCCCAATTTACAGAAAATAAAATTTGCCTTATCTAAGTCACCAGATGAAGTATCTTGATTACATTTCTGAGTCACTTTTTTATTGT